AAAAGTAAAGTTGTACAGTGATATATATATATATATATATATATATATATATATATAATATATATATATATATATATATATATATATATATATATATATATATATATATATATATGCATCATATTAACAAAAGTAAAGATGAGATCTTCAGTACGCTCCATCTTCTCCAAAAGGCTTGCTGGGTACCTATCTATCACTGACCTGAGAATACAAGCGGTTTGAAAATCAGCATAAAGCTAGTGAGTTCATAAGATGTTTGTTTTCTGAAAATGTACTAGTTTCCTTTAGTTTATCAAAAAGGGTTGTTATCCAAGAAAATCCCATATTTTCTTATGTAAAGTTGGTTTACCAAAGAGATTGTTATCCAAGAAAATCCCATATTTTCTTATGTAAAGTTGGTTTAGTTATCACTTGTTACCAATTTGTTTATGTGTTGTATTTTATCCCAGGAAAATCCCATATTTTCCTAAATGTAAGACCGGTTGTATATTACAGAGTATAGTTTAATACATAAAACTATATATATATATATATATATATATATATATATATATTGAGGATCATGGGATTTCTATCCCGAACTAGATATGAATTAGTTTGAGATGTACGATCTATAGATAGAGAATAGTTTGAAAACCATGGGACTACCGTCCCGTACTAGATACGATATAGTTTGATATTCATGGAAACATGGTTTGAAAACCATGGGACTACCATCCCGTAATAGATACAGTATAGTTTAATATTCATGGAAATATAGATTTGGAAACCATGGGACTACCGTCCCGTACTAGATATAGGCTCAAAACCATGGGATTATCATCCCGTATTAGATATAATTTCAAAACCATGGGACTACCATCCCGTACAAGATATAGGTTGAAATCATATGATTACTATCCCGTACTAGATATAAGTTAAAGACCATGGGACTACCATCCCGCAAAATATATATATAATCGATAGACTGGAAACCATGGGACTATCATCTCGTACCGGACATGGAAACTATAGATAGAAAGTAGATATGGAATCGAAACAAAGTCAAATCAAACCCAAAGCGATACTGTGAACAAACTTATATTAATACGTATTGTGAGTCGGCTAATCATGCTGATACGACAACGAGACCTCCTTGATGCTTGTCAGACGTCGAATGATATCCATAAATTTGTCACCCCAGGCGTGCCCACCTAACTGTAGCTAGCAGTTAAGGTGTGGGATTGTCAGTCCCGAATAGATCTATTCACAAATTCCTTGATCTCCCTCCAGGAGACTCTGGTTACACTTCCAGGGAGGATTTACTGATCATCCATAAAGGGTAGTGACGAACTCACAAGCTAGTACTAAACTATTCACAGGGTTCTCATACGATATCAAACATATAAAAGATTATGAAACATAATACAATGAATACAGATACATACAATGAAACTATCTGGCAATACGTTCAAATGGTACGGAGATAAACTGAATCAGACATAGTTTATCTAATAACTTTATATACATATCAGTACATGATAAAACGAGAACTAAAGAACCGCAAATTATTCCCATAATAATTTGATTAGTTTGGTTATTTCCTTAACTAAAATTCATTTAGTTGTAGTTGATAAATCATCCCTTATGCTCAGCATAATACACAAGGGGTAAAGGTATTTAAGAGTTTGCCAGATATTGTTTGAAATACATCAATGTTATGTATGGAAAACATTTGTAATTTGCTTGTATTCTCCCCTGAAAACATTGAAAAACCATTGAAAAAGGGTAGGGGTATGAACTCACCGGACGAGGAATGTGTCTGCTTGGGTCCTATACGTCAGTCCTGGGTTTGCAAGCACACGAGGTTCCTATGGATTATGAAAAGATACACATTTGTATCTAATTAGGACTTGAATTATCTATTAGTTAAGGACAAACACTTCTAGTTGCGGAAACACTCCATTACAAGTGTTTGGAAGGACCCGGTTGGCATTTAAGGACATATAAAGCTTAGATATGTAGTTTACTCTTCAAGAGTGAACTTGCAAGAGGGTTTACAGACCTAATGACCATTCCCGATGAGTTTACGGCCGGAAACTCATGGGTGGTACGTTATTGGATGCCAAATGGTCAAACAATGCATACGGGAAGTTCTAGGGTCGATTCCATGGCTTAGGAAGTGATCGGGACTTGAAATGACCTTGGAAATGAGTTTAAGGTCTAAGGAGATGTTCTTAGGGAGTTTACTACCTTAAAATCATGAGTTTACAACCGTAAATTCATGTTTGTCCATGAATCAAGGGCCTTGGTGGTTGTTATTCAATCACATGTGATTCTAGTTCAACATACAAGTCATTCAAGGTGATAGGGGCGCTTAAACACCCATTTGAAGAGTTTATGGTCTAGGAAGATGAGTTTACGGTCTAAGAATGTTCTTGGACCATAAACTCTCCTTTTTTCCATTTATGAATGTTTTGGTGCATTTCTTGAAGGGTTATACGGTTATATGCACTCATGAAAGTTCATTGAAGGTGTTTAGGGGCAAACTAACACCCAAAAAGGTGTTTAAGGTCTAAGATTGAAGGTTTACAGTCCAAGCATGTTTTTGGACCATAAAATCATGTTTGTTCCCTTCTTGTATGATTTGGTACTTCAAATGATGAAGTAGAAGGTCCTAGACACGTTTGGAAGCTTGTGGTGGTGTTTAAGGGCATTTTTAAGACCTTAAGAGGTGTTTATGGTTCATGCACGGGGGTTTACGGTCCAAGAAGGTTCTTGGGCCGTAAACTCATGTTCATACATCAAATTTCATGATTTTTGGGTCCTTATTCCATGCATGCAAGTTTCTAGGTCGAATCTAGGCCCTAGAAGTGTTTTGGAGGGGTTTTGAGGCTTCAAAACCCTCATATGAGGTGTTCACGGCCTAAGGAAGGTTCGTAGACCATAAACACATGTTCATATGTGTTTTGGGTGATTCCAACATGAATTTGAAAACCAATTAAGTTAGATAACAAGTTTAGGATGGATTTCTTACCAAATGATGCTTGAAATGGGGGTTTTTGAGCCAATTCGAGTTCTAGAGAGAGTGTGTAGTGAGAGAAAATTTTTAGAGAGAGGGAAAAAGCCTCAAAATGATGTCACTCAATCCCTTATATAGGGTTTGAGTTTGTGGCCCGGTGGAATTCTACCCGATACTACCGTTAGACGATGCTTTTTGGTCGCACCCGATTAATTTACCGTAATTACGATTTAGACGAAACTAAATATTTTCTAAATGAAAATAGAAAATATTTTAATGAATTAAAATGTAATCCAAATCTTATGAAATTTAAATAGAAGTCGCAAATAAATTAAATTAAAACAAAGTTGATGGAAAATTTTGGGACGACACGGCTTAACTAACGGAATCCGGTTAAAAGCGATGGAATGAATTTACGGGGTGTTACATAATGGTACAAGAAGATAGTGATAATGGATAAGTCGAAGTGTGGTCCACCGACTCAGAAGAGGGTGAAGTAAGGAAACTAGCTCACGAAGGGTGTTTTGTGGTCAATTACAATAATTCACTACTAGAAAAACAACCTTTTACGACGCGCAATTAATTACACACGATGATAGAGAACGCACATTTGTGCGTGCCCTAAAAATTAATGTCAGTTTTCCAAAATTTGAAGGATATAGTACACACATTTTTGCGCGCTCTAAAATTAGTGTTCAAAGAAAACACAGAGGGCACCTACCATAATAAGCGTGTCGTGTAAATGTGTCCCTTTATATTTTTTTAGAAAGTCGTGTTCTCCGTTGCTTTAATAATCTATGGTGGGAAATGAAAACCCAAAAAATTAAACATCCCGCCTGATTCATCTCCTTCTTCTCCTTCTAAAATCCTCTAACAAAAAAACCCTAATAATCCTTCTTCGCCTGATTATCTCTTTCTTCTCCTTCTAAAATCCTCAAACAAAAAAAGCCTAATACTCTAGAAAACCCTAATCACCCTTCTTTCTTCTCCTTCTAAAATCCTTCTTCTGCTTCTAAATTAAACAGTCCCCCACCGGATCGCTAAAACAACAGCCACCAATGCACTATTTCACTACCTTTCACTCTCTAAATGTGCGATTGCTCAATGTAATGGTCTTCTAGGGTTCGTTATCCCTCTCCCTTAATGTATGTGATCGACAATGGAGATGATGGCCACCACTACTACTCCATTACTTACATATCAATCTGTCTGCATACACATACCTTGTTTATAGAGGGTTTAAGGTTAGTTCTTTAATTCATCATTTTCGTGAACCAATAACCCTAGTTTCTATCATTACTTCTTGTTTTTCGCCGACGATCTCATCTAAACCTCATTCTTACGTTATCTTATTATAATTCTTAAACCCCGCTTCAAAGAATTTGGGTTGCGGACCTCACAAAATCCTTCACAGAACCGGCGATTAGGGGTCTGCGAATCTTCACGTTGACTGCTCTGTGTATAAATCCACCCCTCATCACCATCTAAACAAATATTAACCTTCATACTTCTTCACTCAGAAGTGTTCAGAAACAAGCTCAAAATCTCAACACAATATCCCCATGATGTCCATATCTCAAAATATCAATTGAAGTGTTCTGCAAGAGAACTCTTCCAAACTTGATGATTGTTGTAGCATCTCATATCTACTAACATGCGCCGGATCAAACCCCTCATCAAACAAAACCTTTCTCCTTTTTCTTCTCCTCCCAGTAACCATAAACCTCGCTCATATATAATCTTCGCTAGAAACAGTGTGATTGTATTAGGAATTGGGTTCGTCATCTGTTGGTTACTTCACTTTCTTGCAAGATACCTCATGAAGAAGAAAAGATCATCATCATCTTCAAACTCTCATCGTCAATCTTCAATATTTCAAGAAAGTAACGTTAATGATGATGTCGCCTACTAGAGACAACTACAACAGCTCTTCCATTTACATTCTGGTTTAGATCAAGCTTTCATTTACACTCTCCCATTGTTTCTTTATAAAGAACTAATGGGGTCAAAAGAGCCATTCGATTGTGCGGTTTGTCTTTGTGAATTCTCAAAACGAGATAAGCTACGGTCGCTTCCTTTATGCAGCCATGCTTTTCACATTCATTGTATCGACACTTTGTTGCTTTCAAATTCGAGTTGTCCTTTATCCAAAGGTACACTTTATACTCTTGAATTTTCGGTTGAAAATCCAGTCTTCGACTTCCATGATGATTCAAGGGAAGAAGATGATCATGTGTTAGGGGTATCTTGTAATTTTAAGCAATCTGGAGGGGGGGGGGGGAATTAAAAGTGGGTGTATCCGGTTATATTTGGCAAGTTTAGAGCCACAAATGGTAAGAAAAGAGATGAGAAAGAAGTGGGGGAGAATAGTAACAGTAATCTTGATGCAAGAAGGTGCTTTTCAATGGGATCTTATGAGTATGTGGTGGGAAACTCGGAATTACAAGTGAGATTTTGCCCTAGTAGGGGTAATATTGGAAAAAAGTATTTGGGTATTGAGAAAGATAAGGGGGATAGCTCAGTTGATGGGGGGTAGTGATGGAAAGAAAATTAGTACTAGAAGCAAAGGTGAAAGCTTTTCTGTATCCAAGATTTGGCTTTGGTCAAAGAACGATCAACATAAATTTCAAGACGCTTTAGTACCCATATGGTTGGTTCTCGAAAATGTAAGGTTACCATCAAGAAAGTTGAATCCTAGTAATTTTCATCGTTAGTTTAGTTCATTGTTTATGGTAATGTGACTTGTACATCATGCTGAGGGAGTTGTACAATTATTTGAATGTGGAAGTTTGGGCCATGTAATCATCAACTGTTGATGATTTTTTTATTATCTTTTTTCTTGTGATATTGCTAAATGATTTTGTCTTATTATATGTGACTTGCTTTATTGAACATGACAAAGTGTACTCAAAACACTTTATTTTATTACTGAAATTTTCTTCTCTTTCCTTCCTAAAACATTGTGAATATTATTATATTAGACCCAATGCAATGCCAAATACTATCAATTCATAAGTTCACTTGACCCTTCTGAGCCTTCTGCTCTGTCTTGCTTTTGCTACAAAATTCGCAGAAACGCATAACTATGAGTTCAAGTTACGCCGTTATATTATACATAGTGTACCATAATCTTCATATACATTTTTTGTGTATCTAATGTTCATGTTAATTTCAACAGTTGATTGTGTTTGTAACTACGTTGATTTTCACAGGTTCAAGAACAAGCAGCAACAAGGCTATTCTAAGTATCTAATTCATGTCTTTTTGGCTGTTTCAGCTTATAGCTATTGGCTTAGAACTAGCTGCTGTTTGGGAAGCTATCTGTCAAGCACATGTATCAGGTATCCAATTATTAATATATACAGGGACTGTTTCAATTGTTTATAATATAATTAATATTATACTATTTTCATGATACTGAAAGTTATAAATGGAATTTTTGTTAATTACTGGGCTTGTATCAACTTCTCAAGAACTGTTCCAGATAGTGCTGCTCAAAGTTTTTGTCATCAGTTGGTCCAAATGTGCCAAGAATCTGGCATGGTATGTATATAATCAACTCAAATATTATCTTTCATAAATTAAATATTTAAATTATATACAAAATGTTGGAAATTTCAGGAATTTAAAAGTGAAAGTGTGGTTCCAATCTACTCTGCAAGACCAGATCAGGTCAAGAAGGCTTTAAGGCACATGTATACAGCCACTGTAAAACAAACTTGGAGGAAAAGAGTTGGAATTGCTTATTACCATTCTCCCTGACAACAATGGCAGCTTGTACGGTATGTAGCTTTCATATGCTTATCACCCTTCCGTTGGAATTAAAAAGAAAACTTTTTTGTTTTGCTTGATAGAATAGAATGGACCATTCCATTCCATTCCTTCCAACCAAACAGAAAGTAAAGTTGTTTGGGTTTCAGGTGATGTGAAGCAGATATGAGAAACGGATCTCGGGTTGATTTCACAATGTTGTCTTACAAAATATGTTCTAAAGATCAGCAAATAGTATCTCTCAAATGTCTCACTCAAAATCAATGTCAAGGTCAGACATTTTTCATGAGAAACTAGGCATTACTAACTCATTGAATTCTATTTTTTTATTTTAGTTTTTTATTACTCAGAAGTCTGGAAAGGATAGTAACCCATCAATTGATGTAGTAATTACAAAAATAACCTCGGTCTATAGACTATAGTTTACTTGTGTTAAAATATCCTGGAATGGGAAGTGGTCCAATTGTTGATCTGTTACCAGTATCATTATCTGGAGGAACTGCTGTTCTTTTTACTTATCCACTTGATTTAGTTAGAACTAAATTGGCTTACCAGGTATACGATCATAATTCCCATAACTTTATTTTAACAAATAGCTACATACTTTTTTTAATATGCAAATGTCTAACTAGCCCAATCATTTTCATCTGATAGTACAGATTGTGGATACTCCCAAATTGAACATGAAAGAAGCCATGAGTAGCGAACATTGCATTCAGAGGAATTAGGGATTGTTTTTCAAGAACTTATAGAGATGCTTTGATTAGAGGGCTGTATCATGGTGTTGGTATGAATTTTTTAATTTCTCATACAAAATAAGTTTTTTTTATTTATAAAAATTGATTTTTTTGTAGCTCCATCACTCTATGGAATCTTTCCTTACTCGGGTTTGAAGGTTTACTTCGATGAGAAAATGAAAAGCCATTTCCCCATTGATTACAGAAAGAACATGATGGTCAAACTTGCTTGTGGGTCGGTTGCTGGTTTACTTGGTCAGACTTTCACTTACCCTTTGGATATTGTCAAACGCCAAATGCAGGCAATCTTTTAAATCTAGTATATATATATATATATATATATATATATATATATATATGTATATGTATCTATATGTATATGTATGTATCTATATGTATATAATCAAAGTATGAGATTATCAAGATACATGTTGTTTGAGTATTGAAGGTTCAACGTCTACAAGGCTCAAGCTCACAACTGAAAGGAACAATGGGAACTCTTGTTATGATTGTCCAAAAAGAAGGATGGAAACATTTATTTTCAGTATTTAGCATCAACCATCTGAAGGTGAGATTGTTAATTACCTAAAAGGGCGAATTTGTAAAAAGTTAGGACTTAACAAGGAATTTTTTTAAGGTGGTGCCATCAGTTGCAATTGAAGTGCCCTCATCACAGTAATTACAATTTTAGCATGGTATTCTTTTGCCCATTAGTTTTAAGGTAATTGAAAATTATATATTTGATTCTTTTGTAATGTATCCTAGGTTCTATTCCAATGTATAGGCACAACTACCCTATCCCCTCTCTACAATGATTTGAGGGTGAGCTAATAATCCCTTAGATTGAGAAGTCAAACATGGCCTCTTTGAAGTAAATCTGTGATCAATGCAATTTGGAATCAATGCTTCTTGTTTTTAAGATCTTTATGAAGTCGATTTGCTAAAACTGCAAAACATTCTTGCCATTGAAGGAAAGGAAGCTCGGGACTATCTAAAAAATGGAGTAGATTTTTCATAACCTACAATCAAAAAATAAACTTGTTAGGGATAATAACACAACTTCAAACTCATGATCAATTTGTATGCAAAACGCGTTTAAGCTAGCTTCTTTCTTTTGGTTCTGGGTAATTTCTTCTACTTAATCCCCTAACATATTTTCATCTCAAAAGTTGGAATTATATATTTATACATCAGCGATGCACTTATGTTATTCCAGTGACAATTCGGTTATAAATCTTGTTTCATCAAGAACCACATGCTCGCATACATACACCTGTTTTTAGGTTTGAATAAAGTTCCTTTCAAATTTGACACGGATTTCATACAAAATTAAACCTCTCAATATTCTTATCTCTTATATTGTGATATAGTGGATATGGTGAACAATCATCTAGATATATGATATGACTTGTTCAGTTTTGATTGGTGGATTGATTCTTTTTGAGGCTTATTCTGCATGAAGTGGTTATCAGGATATATCATACTTGATAAGGTTTGTTCAAAGTTTTATAGGATTAAAGTACACTAAAAATGTCATTGGCTAACTTTTTGGGATTTTTCAATTAAAATTGTGCAGAAGCATTTGTTATGCTGCAGTTGCTGCTCATGCAGATCATACTAGCAGGAGGAAATTAGCACTTTTCCAGGTTCCTTTGTTACTAGGCATTGGGGAAGAAGATACAGCCCTGACTAAGGCAACTGAAAGTGGCGATACTGATTTTGTTTATCTTGTTCTCTTTCATATATGGCAGAAGGTATTTATTGTTTTCTTGTTTGATTAATTTTAAAATAATACTAAAATTAAGTTCTCAAATTATTGGCTTGTATAGAGACCAGCATTGGAATTATTTGGAATGATACAAGCTAGACCTATTGCGCGCGATCTATTCATACGAGACTCAAGGTATCATATTTTGGCATGGCTAGAAGCTTTGGAGGAAACGAGACTCAAGCAAAAGTAAACACACATAGAGTTGTTGGCACATAGTAAGCTAGATGATGCAATTTTATATAAATGAGTTTATTTTTTTTATAACATTTACTCATTTTTGGAATAATTATTTGTATTTGACATATTAGTGAAATGAATTATCTTTGTTATTTATGGTATTTTATTTTGTATTATGAGATTTTTTAATCTATTATTTAATTTGAAAATTAGTAAATCTATAAATAATTTTTTTTTAAACATTTAAAATTATGATACGCAAAAATGTGTGTCATTTTCATTTATGACATGACCTTTCTTGACAGGGGCTTTCTTGATACGCATTGCATGTCATTAACACGAGCATCGTAAGGTTACGACACATGAATGCGTGTCGTCTTCCTTTATGACAGGGCCTTCCTTGATACGCATTGTGTGTCGTAAATGTGCGTCGTAATTGCGCGTCGCAAATGAGCGTCGTAAATGCGCGTCGTCTATAGACGACGCGCAAAAGCGCGTCGTCTCTCTTTATGACAGGGCCTTCCTTGATGCGCATTTGCGCTTCGTCTGAGCCTTTTACGACGCGGAATGAGCGTCGTAAAAGGTTGTTTTTCTAGTAGTGGAAGCAAGGTTATACAGGAAGGTGTTTGATGGTTCATAGTAACAGTTCAGAAACAAAAGGATATGTAACTGATGGTGGAAAAGCTTCAGATAGTTGTTTGAAAACTAAGACAATCAAGGAGTACGTGAGCGAATGCAAGAAGGTTGTCGACAATGTACACTTTATTCTTGAATCACTTAATATCGCTACATCTCGTTATGATTCTAAATTAAATGATTTTTGTTATAAGATTTCTGATTTTTGTGATAGCTTAAAAAGGAACTATATCAGTACCGCTAATCTGAATGACAATCTGAACAGGGTAACTTTTAAGAATGAGGAGAGACGGATAACAATAGAATCCTCGGAGGTTGAGCTTAATATATCTAGAGATGATATTATTTTGCTTAAGAGAGATACTAGAGTATTTTTGAAACAATGAAACATTTATTTTTAATTGCTAAATTTTAGTATTTTAATATCACTCAGCTTTATTTAGATTGCGAAATAGGTAAAGGTTTGTATAAGATGATTTTTCATTTTATTGAATTAAAAGAAGATGAAATTGATGCTAATTGTTATAAATATGAATCAATTGTATCTTCAGATGTTGTTTCTGATTCTTACAAGGTTGGACTTGAGAAAATAGAAGAATACATTAAGTCCAAAGAACATAAAAACATGTTGAAACAAATCATGACTAAACAAGATCAGCAAGAAATAAAAATGAGTGCTATGTAGAAATATGACTTATTATGCAAGAAATTGAATTCGGATAATCCTCTCATTTCTGAGAGTATTTCTGAATTTTATAAAAGTGAAATGAGTGAACTATCTATGGATGATGAAATTGATTGTTCCGCTTTTGTGAAAAATATTGATGAACCAAAGAAAAAGATAATTTATGAAAACTCAATCAAATTTGTTCAAATTATTGAAAACAAGGGTTCAAAAGTTTTGGAAGAAGAAGGAACAACTTTTCCAAAAGTTTAAACGACTCCAAATCAAGTTTTGCAAAGAATGGACTGAAAAAAAATTACACTTCTGAATTAACGTCCATGGTTGTTGATGATAATGCAAAATGGTGTGATGAATTTTTCTGGTCATAGCCAATAGACAATTTTGATGAAACAAAAGGTCTTTCAGAAATGGCCTCGTGGAAATTAAAAGGAAAATATGTTTTAGAACCATTGAATCATGTGGACCTTCGTTATGAAGAGGCCGATCCAAGTGGTACAAAAGATGTTTAAAGTGAAGAAAAGACATTCGTAAATCTGCTGAGGAATTTATTGCAAAGAAAAGACAAATGGATGCAAGATACAAAAAGTATTTGATTAAAATAAAGCAATTCTGGAAGAAAAAGAATTCAGATCAGATTTCTATTAATACATTAGGATCTTCTACTCAAAATAAAGATTCATCTCAAATTCTGAAACCAAAATCTCATTTTTCACCAAAGTCACAAATGTCAAAACCAATTGCAAAATCAAAACATTTTGTTGAAAACAAAGTTTCGGAACCAGAAATTACTCTTGTAGAACACGAAACACAACTGAAAAGGGAAGCAAAAGAGTTTTCAAATTACTCTTGTAGAACACGAAACACAACTGAAAAGGGAAGCAAAAGAGTTTTCGAAACAGGTGGCTTCAAAATACAAAGAACATATTCAAAATAAATCTGTTTTTGTTGAATTAAATCTTTGTGATAAGAAAACTGAAGTTTTTTAAATGGAAAAGGGGATGAACAATATTTTGATAAGAACATCCTTCTGGGTTGACAAAACAAATATTTTTCCTGTTCAAACGAGAGTCTCACAAGGATCCAAGATGATTTGGGTTCCTAAACATATTAAAATTTTGCAGGTTATGCATGAAGAGTAAGTATTTAATTGACTAGCCCGAATCACACAGCTCTTCATGCATAACGCTCACAGATCCGGGCTAGTAAATTTAGAGACAATGAGCAAAAAAAAGTGAGTTTTTAATGGAAGATTGTTTAAAAGGATTAATCTTCACCAAGTTGTAGTATATGAAATAGGGGTTCCGTACATATAAAGAACGCCAAAATCCGACTTATAACGAAGAAGTTATGACCAGTCGAAATTATATGGCAAAACCGGCATGACGCCGGGAGTCGTAAATAGTGAACTTTTTATAAAGGACTTTTTAGACTTAGAGATCTAAACAAAAGTTGTAGAATATGTTAAACCAAGATCGCCCAAAAAAGGAACGCCCAAATCTAACTTCGTATGAGGAAGTTATGTTTTTCTAAGTTTCGGATCGGCAGTACACAACCCGAAGTTCGAATATTATAACGAGTCGTATTTAGCCAGCACAACCTAAATAAGAATCAAAGATCTCGTTAGTACTAGTGTAATGATAAAAAGACGAAAGTACAGGTGAATAATATTAATTTCCTCGGAAAACCCGATGTTTTCCGATAAAACAGTATGATCGTTTTGTATTATTGTATCGTCGCATCGAATGAATATGATTTCTCCTGATTACTTAGATGGTATTGGATTTTTATGTGAGTGGTTATAACCATGCATGATAATGATTACTTCGTCTGTCTTGGCATTCTAGTGAACGCTGGAATTGATCTTAAGATTTTGTCACCATAGACTGGCCTAGTTTAACTGTAACAAACAGCTTAGGTGTGGGGGAGTCACCCCCATATAGATCTATATACAAACTCTCGCTCTCCCTCTATGAGACTTTGATTATAACTACAGACTATGACTGCCACTTATTGGTGTTGCCCGTTATTACTCACTTAATCCAAATGAATTTGATTAACCTTGATTAACGACCTGATTTTTGTTTACTTGAATAGGAGGTAAGCCTAACAGACAAAGAGAAGAGGACCACGAGTCCCTACTAATCACATATGTTATTTAAGGCTATCGAGTATACGAAGGGCGTGTTGGCCTATTTCGCATATGATTTATTTGGACCATACTAGCAATGCTAATAGGCCACTGAGACCCAATATCATGTAAAAGCCATGGAGGATCCCCTTAAGCATGTAATTGGGTCACAGGAGGCCCAATAAACATGTGTTATTTATGTTAGGTACAAAAGTCATGTTAATGGATCACAAAGGCCCAACAAGCATGATTAGAATCTTTCAAGCCAAACAATTTGAGTGCTTACTTGTTTTGTATGGTATAATCGTCGGGAATTCTGTTTGAACAATTGTTGAGTCGCAAAGTCGCAAAGTTTGTCGATTGTTTTATAACAATATTTAGATTCATGAAAATATATGTATATTCTTCATTCTAAATTCATAGGTTATAAAATTTTGTATTGTTAACCCAAATATCTTACTAGTAAAATATTTGACTAAAAAATATTGGTTGACCTATTTAACCATTTTTTTTAATAAAAACGACAATTTTTGTCCCTTTTTATGAAAAAAATGATATTTTAGGTCCTCAATTTTATTTTTTTTTGACATTTTGGCCCAAAGAATTATTTAGACAAGGTTTTCAACCCAAGATTCTGTTTTTGGATAGATTTAGCGCTTAAAATAAGAAGTTTTGCACTTGAATTCCAATCTTTCGCAAATTTTACAATTTTAGCCCAAAAGCCAAAAACTTTGCAATATTAGTCCTATTTGATAAATAAGATATTTTTAATCCCTGAAACATGTTTATTTGCATTTTTAACCCTTGTTTTGAGAAACTTACAATTTTAGCCCCTTAAAACATATTTTTCACAATTTTTGGGCCAATAGGCCGAAAAGTCCAACGTTTAGCCCCTTAGGCTAAAAGTTACACTTTTAGTCCATTAAAAGTCAAGATTTTTATAATAACTCATATTTTAACTGATTTAAACTTTTTGACCCTTATAAAACCGTAAATAACACCTATTTCTCATCTTTTGCTTATTTGTCAAAAATGGTTCATAATTTAGATTTGTGTTTTGTTTTGCTTGTTTTGAATTCGTATACTACTTTGGTCTTGATTAAAACATGTATACGATGTCTTAGAACACATATATCCTTATCATGGTTAAGGATCTCGAATAGATCATGATTTTTCACACATATCTTTCAAATAAGCTCAAGAAAACACATATCATGCAACAACACATAGATCTACACATTTTACTTGTATTCTCCCCCATAAAACATGTGAAAACCGAAAATAGATGGGTATGAATTCACCTTGAGTTTGATGTTCACGGTTTTGAAGAAGAAAGGATGAAAATGATGAGATATTTTGGCCTAACAAGCTTCTTTAGAAGTCTTTGGGCTTAGATTGCTTCTAAGGAGTATGATCATGAATTTGAATGAGTTAAAAGGTTATTTTTGATGAGATATAGAAGTTAAAGTTTGGATTTAAGTAAAAACTTACCAAAGATTTGTGTTATGAGTGAAAGATCTTCTTGGCATGTAAGCACATCTCGAAATTTTGAAGGAAGAATGGA